ATCCCGGGAGCCAGCCGCCTTGGGGGGGCAGGGCGCGCTCCTCGGCCGGCCTGAGGGTCTGTCCGGGCACTGCGCGGGAGCCCGGGGACAGCGCCTCGCGGGGAGGACAGGTCTGGGGACTCCAGCGCCTCGTGGCCGACAGGCTCCTGCTGGTGCCCTGGGGCTGGCCGGGGAGGACGGGGAGGACAGGTCTGGGGACTCCAGCGCCTCGTGGCCGACAGGCTCCTGCTGGTGCCCTGGGGCTGGCCGGGGAGGACGGCAGAGAGCAGAGGGCGCGGGGGCTGCGGGCTGACGCTGACCCTGCAGGCCCTGAGGCGGCCACAGCTCCTGTGCCCACGCCCGGGGCCTCCCTGCCCACGGCAAGCGCTGCCAGGGCTGCGCAGGACGTCAGTGGCTCACGAGGGCCGGCCCTCTCAGGCAGCTCGCCTCGCCTGTCTCCACGGCAGGCACCTGCTGCCTGCGTAGGGTTACACAGGAAAATGGAAAACGGCAGAATTCCAGCCCCGGTGGGGGATCAGGTGCAGGAGAGCTGCTGCAAGTTTAATGACCCAGCGCTAACTGCTGCCTCCAGAGGCCAAGGCCCTGCCCACGCGGCCACAGCCTGGACCTGCCTCCTGCCCGGCGCCAGCTCCCAGCTCTTGGCAGACCCGTCAGCAGCTGTGGCTGGGGTGGTGAGGGGGTGCAGAAGGAAGGGCGGCCCGGCTCCGCCTTGGCAGCACAGAATTTCCCTGTCAGTGCCCGTCCTAGACCCCTGGCGTCCTAGCAGTGGCTATGTGGGCTGCAGGAACCCGCTGATAGGAGAGAACTGGCCGGGAAGATGAGGGGAGCGGTCATTCGGCTCTTCCCTGGTCCCCATCTGCACAAGAGGCACCTCTTATTCCCAACTCAAAGTCAGAGGACTTCTGTGGGGCCAGCTCCAGGTGTCGGGACATGCTGACTGAGGCACGGGTCTAGGTGGAACACCAGCCCTCCTGTGCCCCTCACCAGCCTGTGGGGTGGGTGTGGATGCAGCCAGGTCACGGGGTGGCCCAGAGTGGGCCCTGCTGCTGCCTCTCTGGGGGCTGGCGGCTGGGCTGGCCCGACCCCGGTCCCAGCTGCAGCCCGCTGCCACAGCTGGTGATGGAAGCAGGATGTCCAGTGCCTGGGATCTCTCTGCTCATGCCTGCCACGTCTCCCGCTTCCAGCCTGCGCTGTCTCCGGCCTCTTCAGCTGCATCACGATCCACCCCCTGAACATCGCAGCCGGCGTGTGGATGCTGTGAGTGCCGCGCCTGCCCTGCCCTGCCCCGCCCCGCCCTGACCCCTTCCTGCACCCACAGTGTTGAGGTGTCTGGAGGGGGTGGGGCAGAGAGTGCCCCAGGCCCTTACTGCCTTCGCGGTGAAGGCTCAGGAAGCCCTGGCCCTGGTGGAAGGCCTGGCTGAGGGAGGCCCAGGCGGGGTCGTGGTACCCACCATGGAGGACTGTGTGGCCTCCCGGCCGGCGAGCAGTGCTGGGGACAGACAGGTGGGACACCGCGAGCCTGCGCCTGCTAGCGCGGTCAGGGTCACGCTGCTCCCAGCTGGGCACCGACAGGCCTGGCCAGGGCTTGGGCTTGGGTTCCAGGTTGGTAACTCTTCCCTGCCTAGCACCCCAGGAGGTGGCCTCAGTGTCAGCGGCTTATCTGCTCCTCTGACAGGGATTGGGACACAGGGCTTCCGGCACCTTTCTCTCCCATGTGGGCTTCCCACGCTCCTGCTTGTGGCCAGCCTAGGATCCTCGTAGCATCGGGCATGGGCCAGCCATCAGTGGCTGGGGGTGCTGGCTGCCTAGTGCCTGCTCTCCTGGTGCGTGGCCTTCGCCATGGTGGCAGTACTGGCGACCATGGCTATAGCACCGACACCTGCAGGCCTGCCCAGTGCTCCTGGTGGCTGTCCGTTTGGCAAGGGGGCCTGTCTTCTATGTCACAGAAGGGCAAAGAGACCAGGTACCCTGGCTCTTCCCTCAAGGGGGCTTGGTGCAGGGAGCACTAGGGCCGAGATGCCCGCCAGACACTCTGAAGGGGACGTAGGTGTCCTGGCGTGACCGGGGTGGGGAGGTGGTGCGGGGCTGCCCCTCCGTCACGGCCAGGCCTCCCTCCTGCCCATCTCCCACAGCATGAACGCCTTCATCCTATTGCTCTGCGAGGCGCCCTTCTGCTGCCAGTTCGTGGAGTTTGCAAACACCGTGGCCGAGAAGGTGGACCGGCTGCGTTCCTGGCAGAAGGCTGTCTTCTACTGCGGGTGAGGGGTGCTGGCGGGGCGGGGGCAGAGGGAGGGATGACAGCTGCTGAAGTTGCGGCCCTCCCAGGCACGTGGCCTGTAGCTGCAGCCACCCGTGAGTTCGTTCAGGAGCACGAGGGACAAGCATTGTGTGGGTTGGGGTTGGGCCTTGGCTGGGAGGTGTTGGGCGGACTCACAAAGCCAGGAGGTCGCCTTGGGTCCTGACACGAAGGACTCACACAGGTTGAAGAGCGGAAATCATGACTGCTCTCTAAATAGGCTTTGCTTTCGCCTTCCTGTCTGACAAGTTCAGCATGTGGCACTTCACCTCCGAGCCAGGGCTCTGAACTACGTTCAAGACAGATTTAATACACTCCTGGGCCAGGGCCGGTGCAGGGGAGCCAGCTGAGCGCAGTATATGTTAGTAGGACCTAGCTATCTTTAAGATAGATTCCTGCCAGGAGTGGCGGAGCAGCCTGTAACCCCAGCACACGGGGAGGCTGAGGCAGGAGGAGTGCAGTTGGAGCCCCGGCAGTGTAGCAGTTTAGCAAGACGCTATCTCGTATCTCAAAAAAAATAAAAATAAAAATAAATAGATAGATAAAAGGGCTGGAGATACAGTTCAGTGTGAAGACCCTGGCTCAAACCCCAGTACCAGGTGTTAAACCCAAAAGCGTAGATTCACACAGATGCTGGGGGCTGCTGGAGGCCAGCTGTGGGGGCTGGGTCTGCAACAGTTTTCTCTGTGCCCAAATCCCCAAGAATCCCAGCCTGGGGTGCCCACCAGTGGGCCTCGTCACACCTTTGGGTTTTTAAGTGTGCATTTCCCAAACTCATTCAGTCAGTTTGTAAAACAAAAAAATGTTGCTCCAAGCCCTGTCTCCTGGTGGTGAGCACCCTGCCTGTCTGAATTCACACACCTCTAAGGTTCGTTTTTCACAGTTGTAACCATTATCAACAGCTTTGTACCTGATTTTTTTTCACTTAATGTAATGACAAAAACATTTTTGGGGCTGGCCAGATAGCTCAGTGGACTCAGGCACCTGCTTAGGCAGGCGCAAGGACTAGGGTTGGATCCCCAGCCTGCGGTCCCGGCCCTGCTCCCGGGGCGCACCGAGATGGGATTGAGACTGGGCGTGGTGGTGCATGCCTGTAATCCCAGCACTTGTGAGGCTGAAAGACAGGAGGATTACTACGAGTCCAATCTGTGTACTGAGACCCTGTAGACCCTGTATTAAATACATAAAAAACTGAAACATTTTTATGTCACCCTCAAATGCTTTGACATTCTTCTTCCTCCTCCTCCACCTCCTCCATCCACCCCCCCCCCCAGACAGGGTCTCACTCTGTAGTCCAGGCTGGCCCTGAACTCTCAGTGATCCTCCTGCCTCAGCCTCCCAAACGCTGGGATTACAGGTGTGCACCACCACGCCCAGTCTCAACCACGTCTCAGTGCGCCCTGGGGGCAGGGCCAGCATGGCATGCCGGGGATCGAACCTCAGTCACTGTGCTCTGCCCAAGCAGGCGCTTTAGTCCACTGGGCTATCTGGCTGGCCCTTGGCATTTTTAATGATAGGAGTATTTATTGGTCCTTTTCTTAATTTGTTAATTGGTATAAATCAAGCTGTGACCAACATTTCTCTGGTCAGATTGATGTATTTCTGGTGAGCTCCTTAGGATGTACTTCTGGATGTGGGGTCAGCGGGTCCAAGGTGATGGTCATTAAAAAGACTTTTAATACGTGTGTTCAGTTGCTTCCCAAAGAGGCCTTCCTGGCATCCCTCGGCCTCGATGGCCCTGTGTCGGTACCAGCTTTACATTGGTATTTGTTATGTAAGGGGTGAACTATTTTCCTATGTGTTCTAATTGCATTTTTCTACTTGAACATTTTCTGGTTTACTTTTCTTTATTTATTTGGTGCAGGGTCTCGCTGCACAGTTCAGACTCGTAGTGATCCTCCCGTCTCAGCCTCCCCAGCGCTGGGATTACAGGCATGTGCCAACACGCCTGATTTCGGGGCCAGCACTGCATGCAGTACCAGGGATCAAACTTGGGGCCTTGCACTTGCCAGGCAGGCGCTTAGACTGCCGAGCTATGTTCCCCAGCCCCCAGCCCTGGTTCACTTTTTTTTTAGTACAGGGTGTACAGGGTCTCATTACGTAGATCAGACACTAGTGATCCTCCTGTTTTCAGCCTCCCAAGCGCTGGGATTACAGGCGTGCACCACCATGCTGTCTCAGTCGCCATCTTGGTGTGCCCCGTGCGTGTGTGGCTGGCAGGGCACACTGGGGATCGAACCCCAGCTGCTGCGCTCTGCCTAAGCAGGCGCTTTAGTCTGCTGAGCCATCTGGCTGGCCCTTGGTTTACTTTTCAATGGATTAGAGCTCCAGTGTTTGCTTGGTGGGTCATATGTATTTTCTATATTAAATGTTTCGTAATCCTTTGTTATACGTCCTGCCCATATTTTTCTAGCCTATGGTTTGCCTTTAGCTTGGACGAACAGTTACTCTGCTGCGGTCCTGGCCTTTCCTTGTGATTTTTATTATTCCTTTATTAATTTTTATGCTATCATAAAGTAAAACAAGAAAAATAGGGCCCCGGAGATGGCTCAGTGGACTAAGCGCTTCCCTGGCAAGCGCAAGGGCCTGAGTTCAACCCCTGGTTCCACAAAAAAAAAAAAAGAAAAATGAAAATTTTAAGTCCCCCTCTTAAGTTGAGGATGGGACTTTGGGGTGGTTCTGGCAGCTGAGATCTCCTGAACGCATGTCCCCTAGACAAGTGGGAGTGCAGGTGGAGCTGGTGGCCACAGGTCCCACCCAGCCGCCCAGGAACCACCCGGAAAGCTGCGGCCCTGCTGGTGCGTGGGTGCCGGCTTAAGGATGGGCCAAGCGGGCTCACCACCAGGTGGCGCCCTGCAGCTGTGAGCCCCACGGGCCCCGCCGTGGCTGGTTTTCCTATGTGGGCAAGGAGCATTTATTTGGTGCCTGTGCTGGCCAGGGTCGTGTTAGTCGGCCGGCGTGCCTGGGCTCACGCACCTCACTTGGAGAAGCTGAGGGCTCGTGGGCCGGGACAGACCCCAGACTCCCGGCGCTGTGTCTGCCTTCGGGAGCAGTGAGGGCGGGACTGCCTGTTGCAGCTGAAGTCCTCGTGGACCACACCACGAAACACGGGTCATGTTCAGGGCACGCAAGGGCCTCGTGCAGCCCAGCCACGGACCTGTCCTGCAGATGAGTCGGGCTTCTCCCTGCCCCCCAGTTGCCTGGGGAGGAGCCGGTGCACCTGGGCAGCCCCTGGGTGCTGTGGGGCCACACGTGCCCTTGACCTCTGTCTCCTCCCAGGATGGCTGTGATCCCCATCGTCATGAGCCTGACTTTGACCACGCTGCTGGGCAATGCTGTCGCCTTTGCCACCGGGGTGCTGTACGGACTCTCTGCCCTGGGCAAAAAGTGCGTCCATGGCCCAACAGGGTGGGGCTGTGGGTGTCCTGGCCATGGTGGGGACATGCGGGGAGTGGCCCCTCTGGGCCCTGCATGGACACGGAGACTCAGGCAGTCCACGACCGACCAGTGTTCCAGGGATGGAGGTGGGAAACGTCAGGGGGCTGTCTGGGTGACCCCATCCTGCATCCTGGATGTGCCCTGGGCACCTCAGCCAGTCACTCTGTTCCTGCAGAGCCTGGTTTGGTGACAGAACCCACAGAGCCCAGCGTCCAGGCTGCCTGTGCCACTCTAGAGGTGCTCAGGCCTTTGTGCCCCTAGCAGTGGCTACTCTCTAGGGAACCGAAAGGCCCTGTGGGCTCTGCCTGCCTGGGCTGTATCCTAGGAACTGGGAGGCACCCAGGCTGTGCCCTGTGGGACACCCACCACTCTAGGGCACCCTCCACTCTCTCCCCAGGGGCGATGCTGTCTCCTATGCCCGGATCCAGCAGCAGAAGCAGCAGGTGGATGAGGAGAAGCTGGCAGAGACCGTGGAGGGGGAGCTGTGATGCGGGTGCTGCCTCTGCCCGCCCTGCCCCCACCTGGCTCTGGGGAGCTTGTCTGGAGGAGGCCCCGTGTGTGTCCCCTGCCCAGCCCAGCCCAGCCCAGGTCCTGACCCCATGGTGCTGGGGGACACAACTGACCTGGTGCTGCCCGTCTGGGCCGACAGCTGGGCCACTGTGGTGCTGTGGACTCCATGCCCCACGAGCAGCTCGCATGCGCACTTGGGGCCTGCTGAGCGGCTCCCCCACCCCAGGCCCGTCCATCAGAGGGAGCGCCCCGGCTCCTGGGCCACTGGAGGCCAGAGCTGTGCTGTTCCTGTGCGCAGGGCACAGGGTGGAGCAGCATCCCGAGTCCTCACTGCCAGGGAGCTGGCCAGTCCTGTGGGGAGCGTCCCCCCAGTGCTCTGGCACTTGGATGCCCAGCTGCCCACCTCCTTCAGGCCCTACCGTACTCCGCCTTGGGCTTGGTGCTAAGCAAGTGAGGTGAGGTAGGTGAGGTACCTGTGGGGATGCCTCCAACCCCCACGGGGTCCTGCCCTGTGCTGGCAGTAGCTGCTCCCCACCAGCAGGGCTGAGGTGACCCATGCCAGGTTTGCCTGCCTGGGCAGCCTCCTGCCTTGGAAAGCCGCTCCCTGCAGAGCTGCCTGCTGCCCAGAGGCAGCCTGTGTACAGGAAGTGCCCCTGCTGGAAGTGCCCTGTCCAACCCTGCTCTGGGCAGTCTCCTCTTACCCCAGGACTTCGGCCTCAGCTGTGCACTAGCTTGGCCCGTGGCTGTTGGGCACATGCCTGTGTGCTGGTCTGACGTGCTCCCTCTGGGGCTGGCCTGGAGCCCCGGTTCCCCGGTCTCCCAGCTGGGCTTGCTCTAGCTCCCCGAGCTTGGGGACTGGCTTGTGCTTCCTGGAGACCAGTTCCCAGGCTGTGCCCAGGTCTGTTTCCTGGAGGACACTGAGGCCTGTTGGTGTTTGGAGCTGGAGCAGGTGGGGGCACTTGGGGCTGGGCCGGCACCACCCAGGGACACAGCAGAGGGCTCCGGTCAGCATGCCCTTCTAGGCGCCGGGCTGAGCTCCTGGGTGCCAGGGCGTTAGAGTGCGGCTGGCCTGCTGGGACAGGGGCCCTCAGGTTCCTCTGGGTTTGCCTTCTTCAGGCCACATCTGGGCTCACGGGGTGTGTGTGTGTGTGTGTGTGTGTGTGTGTGTGTGTGAGAGAGAGAGAGAGAGACAGACAGACAGATTCCCATCTTGCTTCCAGGAGGAGCAAGGACTTTGCCTACTCCTCCTGGCCCAGGCATGGGACTCCGGGGCCCCTTCTGCCTGCACCTTGGGGGCTGCAGCAGGAGGGGAAACTTGGTGGGGGTGAGCAGCTCCCCGGGGCGGGCACCCAGGCTGGCCAGCCTGTGGCAGAGTCTGGGTTCCAACTTCCTGTGCCTCCCTCAGGCGGCTGGTTTGCATCCTGAGCAACAAATGGGGCTGTCGAAGGCCGCTCACGCTGCCTGCGACCTTCTGTGTCCCCCGAAGGGTGGGGGCGCACAGCCCACACTGCTCCCAGGAGTCACTTGCTGGAGGTCACAGACAGGAGGACCAGGCTGGGCAGGCCCACCCCCTTCTCTGGGGCCCATGGAGGCCTGTCAGGAGGGCAGCAGGCCCAGCTGACCCGGGTGGCTGCTGGGGAGGGGTCTCTTCTGAGTAGACCCACACCTTCCTCCGGGGGTGCGGGTCCAGTTTCTTTATTTTGATAAATACTATGAACAGTTTGCATATTGGAGCCAGACTGACCTCGCAGGCTGCTGCGCCCTGGCCTTCGAAGTCTGTAGTGTTCCCAGTGGTGGCCAAGGGATCAGAACAGGGTGATGGAACCATGTCCCTGTGTGGGGCCATCTTGTCATCTGGTCCTGTTCTTGCTCTTGGGCATAGTCCCTTGAACGTGAGCCAGGAGCCAGGCCTGAGGTAGCCCAGCAGGGTCTTGTCCCTGGGTCCCACGTGTGCCCTCCTTTGACGCATGCCACCTCCTCCCAGGCAGGTCTCAGCATGCATATGCAGCATCATGGGCAGCAGGGCCTCCTGTCAGCTGCTGGTTGCAGGGTGGCGTTGTGCATGTCCTAGCGGCCTCTGCCTAGCGCAGGAAGGACCTCCTCCCTGTGCGGAAGTAGGACTCGATCTGCTCCAGCGAGCGGCCCTTGGTCTCCGGCACACAGCAGCCTGTGAACACCAGGCTCACCAGACAGATGGCCGCAAAGAAGAAGAAAGGCACCTGCAGGCCGAAGGCATTCTGGGGGTGTAGAGTGGGGGACAGGATCACACAGAGAAACTCGCCTGTCCCACCAGCCTGTGGGCCTGCATCTCACCATGCCCTGCTGAGCCCTCCCCTTTCCCCACTGCTTCTAGTTGGCCCTCCGCTCTCCCCAGGGATGGCTACAGCGTCCCTGCCCAAATGGAGGGTGTACTTCGCCCTACCGTGTTGCACAGGGGCACCCAGCACGTGCCTGTCTGCCTGCCTGGCCCAGCCTGGTCCCCCCAGGGTGCCCCAGGCAAGGCTTCGCAGAGCTGGCCTTGTGGGGCTGCACAGGGCGCCCAGGCTCTGCTGTGCTCGGGCTGCTGGAGGCAGGGCCTTTCTGGGCTGGGAGGTGGCCTGACCCCTCAGCACAGTTCCTGAGCTCATTCCTGTTTCTTATAGCTGAGGGGTCTCGGCTGTGGTGTCACCTGACTGCTCTTGGCTTCCAGGGGAGGGGCATATGCTAGTCTTCCAGGGCTGCCATGGGGGTGACGTCACTTATGGCAGAAGGGTCCTGGCATCAAGCAGGGGTCCTGGCTGGCAAGATGGGACCTGGGGGCCCCACACCGCGCACATGGGCACTCACCACCACAAGCAGGAAGGACTTGGTGAGGGCAAAGGCCGTAAGCCAGCTGGCCAGCACACACAGCCCTGAGGCCACACCGCGGGCCTGCAGGGGCAGGATCTCGGACATGAGGAGCCAGGTGATGGGCCCCCAGCCCATGGCATAGCCTGTGGGGCCATGGGGGACACGCATACCTTGTCTCACCACGCCACAGGAGGCTCAGCCATCCCCCAAACAGACCAGGACAGCCCCTTCCTGGAACACACCCGCAGCTTGCCCGGCCACCTACCCATGATGAAGAACATGGTGGCCAGCAGAGGCACCAGGGTGAGGTAGCTGCTGGGTGTGGCTGGGGGCTGCTCGGTGGCCCCCAAGGGCATGTTTTCCAGGCCCACAGTGCCATTGGGGGCCAGAGCCCTTGGGCCAAATTGCACGTACAGCCCCAGTGTCAGGTTGGCAGCAAACATGACGGTTGCTGTGGACACAGAGTGGTTTTGGGGGTCAGGACCCCTGAGCCCCTGGGCCTCGGCTGGCCCATGGGGGTGGGGGGTGTTCCACTCGGGCGCCGGCTGCACCTTCAGCTGGGCTTGAGGCCTGTTGCCCTGTGGTGCCCAGCCCACTCCATCACTCCCGTGAGCACCAGGCACCTTGCTGGGGCAGCTGGCCCATGGCAGGCCTGGGCCAACTGCACTCTGCTCTGGCCCCCACGGTGGCACTGTCAAAGGGGACACAAGCCATAGCAGGGCTGCTCACCTGACACAAACAGCAGAACCTTGCGGCCGGCCAGGTCCATGGTGAGGGCAGCGATCAGCACGGACAGGAGCCTCACAGCCCCCACAATGGCTGCGTCATCCTCAGGGGGCTGTAGGGAGGTGGGCCGCCCCTGTGGCTGGCAGACCCAGCCTGCAGCTCCCGTCCCCACCTCCGCATCCACCCCTCCCACAAGCCCTGCGGGGCACTCTGATCTGAAGCCATAGTTGCAGCTTCTTGGAGGACCTGTGTGCCCAGCACTCCTCTGGGCAGGGCCATCTGCTTGCTGTGGCCACCCTGAGCCCCATAGGGTCCAGGGGGCTAGTCTTTCTTATGGAGGTGCAGCCCCCGGGGCTCTGAGCCTCGGGCCGTGGTCCCGTGGTCCCAAGGGGTGTACATTTCTATTAAACTGGTTTGCTCTGTCATCCAGTACAGTTTACTTTAGAGACGGGGTGACCCCGGGAGCTTCCACACACCTGCTCGGGTCTGAGTGCTCAGCACGGGCACCAAGGCCTGGGGTCAGCGCATGAACCCAGGGGGCGCGGGAGGGCTCTCACCAGCAGCACGGCCGTGCTGTTGAAGATGGGCTGCAGGTAGACCAGGATGGGCGTGATGCCTGTCAGCTGCTGCAGGAAGCGCATCAGCAGGGCGATGAGGGTGGGCCGGAACATGTGGGGGTCCCGGGCTTCCGCCAGAGACATGCGGCTGTTCTGGAACACAAGGCCAGCACTGAGGGCGCTCTGCAGGCCTCTTTTGCCCCTGCCCAGGGCTGGCCAGCAGAAGTAACCCTGCTCGGCTCAGCTCTTAGCCCAGAGGAAGCAACCAAGCTGAGAGGCAAGCCCAGCCCGGCTGCACCTGTCGCTGGACGTTGTTCTGGATCTGCTCGAACTCCCAGCGCACGGCCTGGGTGTCAGCGGTGTGGCGCAGCCAGGTCAGTGCGCGCAGAGCCTCCTCCTCCCGGCCCCGTGACAGCAGGAAGCGCGGGGAGTTGGGCATAAAGCTGAGCAGCAGGACCATGATGAGCACGGGCCCCTCTCCGGCCACGGCCAGCCAGCGCCAGGGCAGCAGGAGGCCTGCAGGGGAGGAGTGGGAGGTTCTGATCTAGCCCAGTGCCGCCTCCTGCAGGGTCCGCCCTGATGGCCTTGGTCTCTGTGTGCAGCAGGGAGGGCTTCAGGGACTGCGCAGCCTTTGGCACATGGCCAGCGGCCCTGGGAGGAGGGGGAGGCCGGGCAAGGCCTGGGCCCACTCTGCTGTCTTTCCTACATGTACTCTTCGGGCCCTCTGCTGCTGGAAAGACACCTGAGGCTGACCCGGGAGATGCTGTCATTTTCCAGCTAGGAAGTGGGCCTGGTGACCAGAGAGGGGCAGGGGACAGTCTGGAGGAACTGGCCGTGGCTGGGAGCCTGGGAAGCTATCCGCTGTCCCCTGACCCTAGGCTCCCCAAGGGTGCTGGGAGTGTTCATTCCCTCCCTATTCGTCTGCCTCTGTGACACCCTGATACCCTGAGCCTGCCCGCAAGGCGCAGGGAATACTTGCCCAGGGCGTAGAGGGACAGGGATCCAAACACTGCCATGAGCTGCGGTGTGGCCCCCAGGGCTCCCCGAACGCCAGGGGGAGCGATCTCAGACACGTACACCTGCAAGACACACACCCTGCGGTGCCCTGGGGGCTCTAGTGAATGCAGGTTCCTGGGCCTGGCTTGCTGGGAGAGCTGATGGGGGTCTGTCCTTACTGATCTGGGCTTATTGCGTGCCCTCTGGCCTCGGATCCCTAACTGTGAGGGGGACAGCAGCACTTGGATCTAAAATGGGGGTGACGAGGCCCGAGGCCAGCACTTGGCGAGGCCGGGCGTCCAGATGAGGGTGCTGAGCAGGTGTCTGCTCTTCCTTGGCCTGCTGCCCTGGGCGCATGGCACAGCCGACCGGCACGCGTAGGTGGGAAGGCCGGGGTGGGGAGGACACTTCCCCCTCCTTCCTTCCTGTTGCTCAGTGTTTTCTGCGATTGAGCAAAGTGCCTGTGGTCAAGAAAAGGGTAGGAAGTGTGCAGGGTCCAGGGTGGGGTGGGCTGGGGACATGGAGACCGTTTCCCTAGGATTGGCTCCCGTGGGGGGCGAGCGAGGCCCCTCAGCAGCCCCGGCACAGCTGAGCACGCGGTGGGGCTGGGAGGGCTTCTCCCAGTGGCGGCCTGGCACCCACCCCGAGGCCGTGCGGGAGCCCCCTCCTTACCGGGATGCAGGCGGCTGTGAGACCCCCAGCAAAGCCCGTCAGCATCCGCCCCAGCAGCAGCATCCAGAGCCCGTGGGCACCGGCCATGAGCGCGTAGCCCACCACAGAGGGCAAGGCAGAGAACATGATGCTCAACTTCCGGCCCAGCAGGTCGTTGAGGAGCATAGCGCTCAGGCCTCCGGCCGCAGCACCCAGGGTGAAGATGGACTGTGGAGGGAGGGGCGAGGCTCTGGGCACCCCACTTCCAATCCCAGAGGCCACGGTGGGCAGCAAGGTAGTGTGCCCAGCTCCAGAGGTACACGAGCAGTGGGTCTGGCCAGCAGGTGTTGGAGCACCTACTATTTCAGTACAGGATAATCCCGGGACTGGAAGGCCTTGAGACCTTGAGACTGAAGGCTCGACTCCCTGGCGGGGTGTGATTCTGTTACTTGATGTCAACGGGTCCGGGGCACAGTGCTCTTTTTTTTTGGCAGAGTCTCACTATCCAGTTCAGACTGGCCTTGAGCTCACTTTGTAGCCCAGGCTGGCCTTGAACTTTCAGGGATCCTCCTGCTTCAGCCTCATGAGTGCTGGGATTACAGGCGTGTGCCACCACCCCTGGCTGGGGTACAATGTTTAGTCTGTCTGAGCCTCCGTTTGTCCTGGTGGATTGTGAGGAAGGCAAGAGGACTCATTGTCCTGGCTGGTCCTGGGAGTCAAGGCTCGTTCTAAGGGCTCAGTGAACCCCCAGGGGTTTTCACTTTAGCTACTAATTTGTAATTCTACATTGAGGCTCTTGAGATGGTTGACTGTAGAGCTCTGGACTCCCAAGGCCCAGTCTGTCCTTCCCCAGCCCGTGTCCCTCCCACTGGCACCTGATGTCCCTGCCCCATCTGTCCAGGGCCCGGGTCCTGGACAGCCTTGGCACCCCAACACCCACCTGCTTCTTCCTTTTTTTTTTTTTTTTTTTTTTTCTACTGGGAATTGAACTCAGGGCCTGGAGCTTGCCATGCAGGAGTTGTGCTGTTGAGCTATCTCCCAGGCCCCTAGAGTGCCCACTTGGCTTTTCCTTCCTCCATCCACCAAAATCACCTGGTGTCACCCTGCCAGCCAGCTGCCCAGAGTAGGGAGGGGGCGGGCTGGGCCCTGCAGGGGTGCCCAGGTTGAGCTTCCCGAGGTCCCTAGTGGTGCACCATCTGCTGCCACACCCCTTCCAGAGCAGGACCTTACCCCGAACCAGGACGCCTGGGTTTTGGTCAGCCGCAGATCTGGGTCGGAGGAGTGTTCCAGGGCGGGGATGACAGGGGACGTGTAGACCAGGGCGTAGCCGAAGCTGAAATTGCCCAGCACCGCAGCGAAGGTGGCCAGGAACACCTTTTTGCTCTGCAAGGCCCTGAGAGGGACGGGAAGAGGGGACAGAAGGACCGGGGGTTTCTTAGGCCCTACTCACCGCCGGCCCCGTCTTTCCCGAGCCCCCGGCCGCCCAACCCCACCACCGAGCGGCCCCTCCCGGAGCCCTAGGGCGCCTCCCGCGGCGCCGCTGCAGGTTTGCAGCGTGACCTGAGGCTGGCTGTCCCCGCTAGGCCTGGCCAGCCGGAGCCGGGTCTCGCGCTCCCGGAGGCCGTCCCTGTCTCAGCGACAGGAGGGGCCTCCTGCGGGAGGTCTCAGCGGCCACTTGCCGGGTCCGAGGAGGCCCGGAGCGCCGGCCGGAGGTCTTCTGCGGAGACCAGGCCACCGCAGTCCCGCCCATGCTCCCACCCGAGGGCTCACCCGGGCCTCTCTCCGGGCCCTGGCGCCGGCGGTTCCTCGGGGAAGGTGTCATAGTCGCGGCCCTCGGCACCCAGCAGCGGCTCCTGCATCTCAGAGCATCTGCCGGGCGCGAGCCCAGCCCGGGCCAGCAGCGGGGACCACCAGGCTCCGCCTCCCGCCCGCGATTGGCTGAAGGGCCGGCCTGCGGCTCCACGCCGGCCAATGGGGAGGCCGCACGCCGCGCGGATGCTGGCTGCCGGCTGCAGGGCGCTGGCGGTCGGTGCGCGAGCAGAGCGCGGTGCAGCCCGCCCAGTCCCCGCGCCCGGCGTCCTGGGGTCCCGCTGCGGGAGGGACGAGCCCGAACCTGAGAGGCGGAGCAACTGGCGGGGCCCACCCAGCGAACGCCCGCCCGCCCCCCGCTGCTGCACCTGCACGTCCCACCTGCCGAGGTCCCCTCTGCCCCCTCCCTCGCGCGCCCAGCTGCAGACCCCGCGTGTTCCGGGTGGTGAGCGGCGCGGCAGGGGCCGGGGCAGGATTTGCCTCCCCTGCCCCAGGCCTGGGACTTTCTGTGCGTCAAAATAACCGTAGCTGTTTGTTGCCAGTCATTCGGGTAGGAATACAAGTTTAAGAAAAACCAAAACCGAAACTTCCCTAGCCATCCATTCAGACCTGCGGAGCGACAGTCGCGGTGTCCAGCTGTCCTGTGACTTTTCAATCACTTCCTCTTCCGTGTCTGCCCGGGTCCTCAAGCTGATCCTTTGTTGTCGAGCTTTTGGGTTATTTCCAAACGTTAGCGATTAAAATAGAAAAGCATTGTTTTTAAAGTTTCAGTTCCCTTTTATTATAATAGGCGTGTGATGTAGCGGGAAGGCAGAGAAAGTGCAGCGACGAGCGCTCGTCACCCTGCGGCCCGCCCGGCGTCCCCCCTCCACCCCGTGCAAGGGGTTTGCACGGCCGGCTCTGGGCGTTCATTGCATTCAACCGAGGTCTCGCCGCTGAGCAGACTCAGGTGCAGACAACCCCAGGAACGGAGGGCGCGGCATCCCCTCGAGAGCCATTTGTAACGGAGGAAGAATGAAATAAGTAGTTTTTGTTCTTTTTTATTTTATTTTATTTTATTTTATTTTGAGACAGTCTAGCTATGTAGCCCAGGCTGACCTTGCCCTCACAGCGATCCTCCTGCCTCAGTCTCCTGAGAACTGAGATTACAGGTGTGTGCTACCACGCCCAGCTAGAGATAGAGCAACTTTTATTTTTTTCCATAACTTTATTGACAAACAAACAGCAATGAGACAGTTTCAAACCACATTGGTAGGACAGTTTCTATAATTAGCACATTGCATACTCTCTTCCTAGTGGTTAATTGCTGTACAAGATGCGGACATGATATCCTATTTACAAACACTATTAGAACAAATTCCTCTATTCATTAAGAGAATGCAACTATATA